TGTTTTTTGATCACTCGAGTACGAGCACGTGCCACTCTGTTCACGACCAATAATCTTCACAGAACCTATGCGCTGGCTCTTCTTTGGGCTCGTTGGAAGGCAACCTTTTTTCATTACACTTTCTGCATGTCTTTTTTTCACTGTCTTTTCTATTTCTGTCACGCTCTTTTTTATCTTTCTTTCGTGATCGCAAAACGCATGGGGCACGAATACAATCGACTTTCCATTTCGAACATAAATGAAAATAAATACAAGAAAAAAGAATTATTAAATATTCATATATTATGTACACATGTTTGTAAATTTGTAATTTTCTTTTGTAAAAATATAACGTCAACCGAAGTAAAATATCGAAAGTAAAGATATACGTACCCCGTGCAATTTCCAATTGCGAATTTTCGGTAATGTAGGCTAGTAGTACGTATTTATGATTAATTAAATTTCGTATTCGTCAAACTAGTCGTTAGAAGCGGGTACTTGATATATATCTATATATACATATATATATTATTATTCGCCTATCCACGATATATATATCTATATATCTTTCGGTCTTCCGCCAACATGCTCTCATCCATAACCTCACAATCTCCCGCCCAATTTGCGCCTTTTCTTCTTCCGAGAGTTCTACTTGTTTCACGCCACAATTGAACGACTATCTTATATATTTAATGACACGTTATATATACACACATTTACATACCACTTGATCTATATACACACACATATATATATATCTATATATATATTATATTGTCGCACGCGTTAATGCGTGGCCGGTATTTGCCGTCTTGTAAAACGTTGGAACTCCCACTCACAGTATCTCGCTTGTGCAGCGTTTTTCACCACCGTAAAAAGTAGAACCCGCCAAACAATACACCCCAAAAAATACATAAAACCTTAAACTCTCGACACGTCGATGCGCGGCGTACCGACGTAGATCGTATTACCGTTGGAGCTCTCACTCTTTCTTACATCCGGTGTTTGTCGCAATTTAGACGATGCACACAATTAGTGGTGATTTCGTTTCAGCCGTAGCTAGATATACAGAATCTCGATAGATGCTTCATTCTGCACTGTGTACCTTTTTTTTTTCTCTCTACTTTTTTTCTTTTTTTTTTTTATTTTTTCTTTTTCGTATGTCTCCTTTTTGGGCTACGTATGTACGTTTATGGTGTATCGAACGAACGCTTTTACATTGATGATCCTTTAGTAGAAGCAGAGAACAGAACCGTCATTTAATTTATTCCAAATGATTTTAGATAATCGGTCGAACAAGTTTTGCACGTCGCGAACGTCTCGCATCGACACGTGACCCTCCACTTCCATACTTGAACCTCACCCACGAACCTTCATTCACTTTGATCTTAATGTCTCTATCACTTTTTCATTACGTAAATTTAATCATTTTTTTTTTCTTTTTCCACCATGTATAACGGATACTCAAGATTTATCAAAATTTCTGTCGCGAATTGTAAATTTTGTTGCGCATGTAAATAATTAATATTTCTTATAAATAATTTTCGAATTAATTAAATTAATTAAAAAGAGAAAAAAAGAAATAGAATGAAAAAAAAAGGAACGATGATTCCTCGTCGACGACAAGCGTCATCGTTTAACGTTCTTTTTGTTACTTTCACTTTTGTACAGTGTATATTTCTATCTCATTTTGTACATATATACATATCTCGATAATGCGTCTACAACGATGCAACGCCGTCGACGAGTTCGTCCTTTGACCGCGCTTTTTACGACTCTTTCACGACGTACCTGTCTCTAAATCGCTAACGACCAGTAAAAATAACATAGACCGCGAGTAACGCGACGGACTTCTCTAAAGCTGTCCACTCTGGTTTTCAGTACCTCCACGATGGATCGTAGAGCCTACGGATGTTAGCGTTGAAAGAAACAAGCATGTCGCTTTGCACTGTCAAGCGCAAGGTGTGCCCACCCCTACAATTGTATGGAAAAAAGCCACGGGTAAAAAATTTGTTATATCAAATAAAAATATCAAATAATATAAAGAATTGTTTAAAAGAATAAGAATTAAAGAACAATTCGAATTTAAAATATATTTAATATAATATAAATATAAATATATTTAAATATTTTATATAAATGATTGTAATTAATATTATTATTAATATGATAATTATCATGTATCATATCATAAATAATATCATTTTAGAAATTTAGTTTCAATTGCAAACAATTATTAATTATATATTAATTATATATTAATTCGTTACTACTTTAATTAATAATAATTAATTAAAAAATTACATTTGCAATAACTTACAATATTAATATATAAATGACTGGCACAAAGAAGTTTTTCTTTAGTTTGACAAAGATATATTCTAATTATAGTAGTTTGAATATACATAATAAAGCAATAATAAAAAAAATAAAAAATTGAATTGATATAATATATCGCATCAAATTATGAATTATTATATTGTCTATTTTAAAACTTTTTATCTTAAAATTTTTGAAAATGCAAATCACATAAACTAATATTAAAATTATTTTTTTTAATTGGAAGAACAAATTATATTTATCAAAAAGAATATTAAATATTTATTTAAAATAGAAAAAATATATCATAGTTATTTTTATGAAAATTAATCAATCTAATAATAATCAAATATTTCTATTTTCATAAAATACAATATTAATTTCATCAAAAATATTTATGTATATTTTCAATAATTATAAAACAAAAAATTTTGATTCTTCATTCTGAAAGATTTCGTAATTCTATTTGCTAATTCTGTTAAAGAATAAAGTTCAATAAATAATTTTCCTTCTTTTCGTAATTTTTAAAAACTTTCTAGAATTTTGTAATGCTCTTTATTTAAATTTTTCTTATCTTAATAAAAATTTCATTAACTCAAGAAGTAAAGTTTTCATTAATTCAAAGTAAAGTTTTATTAAAAGTGCATCATAATATAATGTATATAACATAATAAATATCTTTCAACTTCTATAAATTTTTATATAAAATAAATTTTTAAATGCAAGAAATATAGTTAACTTAAATTCTTTCAAGCTTTTATTATAACAACATTTATATTTTTATGTTTTATATTTCGTATTTCATGATTGAAAATTTTTCTTTATCTGAACAAAATAGGAAGCAAATCCGGAGAGTACGAGGAGTTACGAGAAAGAGCGTACACGAAAATCCTCAGTAATGGTACGCTGCTATTGCAACATGTGAAGGAAGACAGAGAAGGATTTTACCTCTGTCAAGCGAGTAATGGCATTGGAAGTGGAATTGGCAAAGTAGTTCAGTTAAAAGTAAACTGTGAGTATCTCTTTGTTAAACGTAAAAATTGAATAACCATTTAACAATAGTCGCTTCTTTTTCAAACAATAAATTCTTAATCGTAACAAAGTCAACGCAAAATTTACTAGAATTTCTCATTTTAATTTCGTATTAGCTTCTCCATATTTCGCGGCTCCATCGAGACTTGTCACTGTGAAGAAGGGTGACACTGCAACTTTGCATTGCGAAGTACACGGTGACACACCGGTCACCGTCACTTGGCTGAAAGGCGGAAAAATTGAGTTAAATCCCTCGACAAACTATCGGTAAAACTGAAATTAGCTTGAGCACTGTTGAATGAAACTCTCTGAAATTGTTAGAATCTTGTTTTCCAATGTTTAATAGAAAAATGTTATTTTGAAGTTTAATTAACTTTTCATCAAATTTTGATTAACTTTATTTATTTTTTGTTGTTATTTAGTGATAAGTGTTTGTGTTAGACAGAAAATTAAACTTATAAAAATTTGAATTCTAATTATTTTTTATATGATTGACTACCTCTTATTATTTTATTATTGTACTATGAATATTGTAAATAAATATTTTACAATTATTTTATTACGTGCAAAGAGTTACAGTGAAACGTGAGGTAACACCAGATGGTGTAATAGCACAATTACAAATTTCTTCGGCCGAAGCGTCCGATAGCGGCGCCTATTTCTGTCAGGCGAGCAATCTTTATGGTCGTGATCAACAATTGGTGCAACTCCTCGTACAAGGTACAATATTTTATCGAGAATGAATATATCTATAAAAATATTTGTAAAAAAAAAAAAAAGCAAACTATTTTATTCGAATCTAGAGCCACCACAACCGCCAAATTCTTTAGAAACAGCTATGGTTGCCAGTCGAAGTATTAATGTAAAATGGCAACATAAATCGCAAGACACCACCGAAGTGACTAAGTACATTTTACAATACAAAGAAGGCGATGGTGATTATTTTATATCTTAGAGAAAAAAATATATTAATAAAAAAAAAATACAAGTAGAATTACGATTATAATTAATTTAATACTTATTAAATAACTTGTAATAAAATAGCTGGAATATGGCAACAACAAGAATTCACTGGGCCACCTCTGCCATATGCTGCTCTAATAGATGAATTGAAACCGGCAACTAGATACACTATACGCGTAATAGCTGAAGGACCAGCAGGTAGATCAGTACCCTCGGCAGAACTGATTGTCAGAACAGAGCCACAAAGACCGGCTGGACCCCCGATTAATCTTGAAGCTAGGGCTTTGTCCTCCTCTGAAATTTTAATCACTTGGTCACCACCATTGCCTGAACTCCGACACGGTGACATTCAAGGATTCAATGTTGGCTATAGAGAAACAAGGTAGGAATGTCAAAGCAGAATAATCAATTTTGTGCCTATAGTTACCATATCTGGAATGAAATTCATTAGTCAGCTTCCAATATT